CATCCACAGCCCCCCCCAACCCCTGCTAGTGCCCCTCACTCCCCACCCACAGCTCCCCAGCTCTACCACTGCCCCTCACTTCCCACCCACAGACCCCTGCTCCTGATGGTACCCTTCACTCCCCACCCATAGCCCCCCTGCCCCTACAGCCCTGCCAGACGGGGCCCCCAGCTGCCAGAGTTATGGGGCCAGGGACCTGGGTCCACAGCCACCCGCCCCCCACAGCAGTGCCCAAGCCCTGGCTGCTGCCTTCGGGCGGTGGTGACCACTACAGAAGAGCAGAGCACAGATCCTGGCTCCCTCTTCCCCATGGGCTGCACACCAGAATGGATCCCATCAGGGAGGGGTGGGGGCAGGCTGCTGGCTGCAGACTTAGTTTCATAATTGGTAGTATCAAAAGGGACCTAATCAGATCATCAAGTCTGATCCCCTGCCATGGGCAGGAAAGAATACTGGGGTCAAATGACACCGGCTAGGTGATTGTCTAGCCTCCTTTTGAAAACCCCCAGGGTAGGAGCACTTCCCTTGGAAGTTGGTTCCAGCTCCTAGCCACCCTGACTTGGGGCTCCTCATCCTGCTGCCTTCCCTCCAGGACCTCCACAGCCCAGGGGCCAGGACCCAGTGGGCCTGGGTGGGGAAACTCAATGCCACCACTGCAAGCCCCACACCACCATGGCAAAGCACCACCTGCCTGTTGGGCAATAGCAAGGGGAAGAACTCCATGCTGTCACCCCCACTATTTTCTCACCCCACTTTGTCCTACCATGCCGGGGCCCACCCACTGGACTGCGGAGGCCCTGTGGGGAGGGCAGCAGGGCAGGGAGCCTGAGTTCATAACAGGCAACCCGCCCCACACACAGATCTGCGGAGCATATGCCCCCATGTCCTCCCCTGGGAATGCATTCAGCAGCAGGGAGACAGCTTCCCACAGCATGAGCCACTTGGGACTTTATCCTACTCCCCACCCAGGCCCTACAGCTGCACTTTCCAACTTCAGGCCCCAAGCCCCATGCACCACCCAGACTGGGCAGCAGCCTCAGCCCCAGCCCTGCCCAACTCCCTCCCTCACTATGGGGGCCTCAATTTTCACCCCCCACCACCAGACATACCTGCAGGGAGCTGCTCTCCAAGCTGCCTGGCAGCCATGTACATGTGTACATGCGCACATACACATGGCGCCCCCTACCTGATCACCCTTCTTCCACTTCCTCCAGCCCCTCGCAGGTTGGAACTCTGCCAGCCTGCAAGGGGAAACCCACCATTCCAAGCATTTTTCTCTTTTAAAGGAGAAAAAACTTTGTTTATCTCCTTAAAATGAGAAAATCTGGGCTTTTGTCCTTAAAAGTCCAGGTTTTAGTGTATTTTTCTGTGGCAAACAGAAAACCTGGATCCCGGATCATAATTTTAGGGAA